AATCTGATGTCTTCTATTCTTTCTAGCCTTTCGATAATCTTTACATTTAGTTTTGATGTCAGATTTACCAGTCATTTTAAAATGTTATGTCATTAATGGGGTCAGCACGGTGGAATTATTTTGACTTATTTAAATTGAGTTCATTCAGCCTTGAAATTGTAAAGAATAATGATCAATATTGAGTTGTTGTCAGTGTACGAGGAAATATATGGCAAATGAATATTGAATCTATCATTAATTCAATGAAAAGTCATTTATATATGGGCCATTTGACGATAAAGCTATTCTTATAGAATATATAAATAAACGGATTGTCACTTGTTCCTCCTCGATACATATCTGCTATTCGTTGTGCCTCAAGCACCTGCAACTAATATTTATTTGTCATCCCAAATCCGGATATATGCCCAACCAACAAAATCGTCAGCATGTAAATGACAATCTAATATTGTTTTCGATTACCTAAAATACTTACCTTCGACCAAACAGTTCATGTAAGGTTTTTTAACTCTTTGACAAATCCTAAGGTTAAAAATTGTTATACTCCCAGACAGCTAGGACTGAAAGCTTATATTAGGCTGCCGGATATGCAGGGACATCGAACAAATACGTAGGCCCTAAGAAAAGACAAACAATAATACTGGACTAAGGCGTTTAACAAATCTTCAACTGTCTTTGAATTTATGGTCTTCACACAGTTATGCTGATAATGACAATGGCAATGGAGAGCGTTCAGGTCATTGCCTACAACTCATAATTCTCAGGGATTTCAGGAGTTAACCTAAGCATTGACCAGATGAAACCTTTAATAAATGTTTCAAAATATTATAATGTTTCGGCCTTCTGGATAATATTACTAACCGATATCATCATGGTTTTCGATCACCTATTTTCAGGACGAATTGGTAAGCAAAGCGATCTTGAAACTCAAATTTCGCCTTCACAAATACCTCTTCTGAAAATATGTGATGTGATGTAAATCGTACGTACAACGTACATAGATTTTACTCATCATTATGGTTAGTTGAATAAAACTTGGAAGTTAACAAGATGGAATCTTTGTATTCTTAGTACCTCCGAAAAGTAATCGAGCTTTGGATGTACGCATCATTTGGTGTGATTTAGGCAACTTTCTATACCTCCTTTATGAAAAACTTTATACGTTATTGAAAACACGGAGTATCATCTAATATTAGTTTGCTCAGATTTGTCTTACCACTGCTTCTTTTTAGATACGTATGTCCTATTAAATAACTCCGCCTGGAGTCCCTCCGGGGGCTACTACCGGTCCCAGGCCCGGATGAAGGAGTAGGGTTGAGCATGAGGTTAGCGACCCCATCCCGGAGAAAACTAACTCGCTAAAAAACGCCAACTAGAAAAAAGTATTCAAACTTTTTAAGCTCTGCCAGTGGAGTCAGAAGGTCTTCATTTAGAAGAATTATGACGCCTCATGATGAAAGCCGAATTCCTTCGGAAGGTACAAGGCCGATGCCCCTTCTGACAACCAGAGCAACCATTTATTTAGGTACAGGGAATGTTCGTACAATGTGGGACAACGGGAGAGCCTTCCAAATTGCTGCAGAAATGAGAAGATACAACCTAGAGGTACTTGGGATCAGTGAAACACATTGGACACAACTTGGACAACAACGACTAACTACAGGAGAGCTCCTGTTATACTCCGACCATGAAGAAGAAAATGCTCCACATACACAAGGAGTTGCATTGATGCTGTCCAAACAAGCACAAAATGCGCTTATAGGATGGGAATCTCATGGACCAAGGATCATCAAAGCCTCCTTCAAAACAAAAAAGAGGGCATTTCAATGAATATCATCCAATGCTATGCGCCTACCAACGACCACAATGAAGACGCTAAAGATCAATTCTACGATAGGCTGCAGTCAATCATCGAGAAGTGTCCATCAAAGGACGTGACCATTCTGATGGGAGATTTTAATGCCAAGGTTGGAACGGACAACACTGGATATGAAGACATCATGGGATGACACGAACTGGGAGAAAGAAACGAAAATAGTGAGAGATTTGCAAACCTACGTGTCTTCAATAAACTGGTCATAGGTGGCACTATAATCCCACATAAACTCATACACAAAACCACATGAACTTCACCGGATCACACTACGCAAAACCAAATCAACCATATCTGCATCAACAAAAAGTACAGGAGGACTACAGAGGACGTGAGAACCAAGAGAGGAGCTGATATAGCATCAGATCATCACTCGCTGGTCGCCAAGATAAAATTGAAACTCAAGAAGTACAGGACAGTAGGGAGGACAATATCACAAAAGTTCAATACAGCCTTTCTTCAGTATACAAACAAACTCAACAAATTCAAGATAGACCTCAGCAACAAGTTCCAGGCCTTTCATGATCTACTCAATGGAGAAGGAACTACTGTGGAGAGCAACTGGAAGGGGATCAAAGAGGCAATCAATTCAACATGTCATGAGGTTCTGGGTCACAAGAAGCACCATCACAAGGAATGGATCCCTGTTGATACACTGGATAAGATTCAAGAAAGGAGGAACGAGAAGGCAGCAATCATTACCAGTCGAAAAAGAGCAGAAAAAGCCAAGGCACAAGCTGATACACAGAAGTAAACAAGCAAGTGAAGAGGAGCATCAAAACTGACAAACGCAAGTTCGTGGAAGATTTAGCAATGACGGCGGAAAAGGCTGCAAGAGAAGGAAGCATTAGACAACTGTACGACACAACAAAAGGGTGTCTGGAAATCAGGGTAAACCAGAACGACCAGTGAAAAGCAAGGAAGGTAAGGTAATCACTAATAAAGAAGAATAACGGAACAGGTGGATGGAATACTTCAAAGAACTCTTAAATCGACCGGCCCCACTGAACCCACCTAATATCGGAGCAGCGCCCATGGACCTCCCAATCACTGTTGACCCACCAAAAATTGAAGAAATCAGCATGGCCATCAGACAAATCAAGAGTGGCAAAGCAGCAGGACCAGACAACATTCCAGCAGAGGCATTGAAAGCAGACGTGGCGGTAACTGCAAACATGCTCCACATTCTCTTCAGTAATATTTGGGATGAGGAACAAGTACCAAAAGACCGGAAAGAAGGACACCTCATCACGATACTAAGGAGAAGTGATCTCAGCAACTGTGATAACTACAGAGGCATTTGATAACGTGGACAGAACAACATTAAGGAAGCTTCTTCGACACTACGGCGTGCCTCAAAAGATAGTCAATATGTTAAAGAATTCCCATGATGGATTAAACTGCAATATAGTGCGTGGAGGACAGTTGACAAGTTCAAATCGCGAACGCAACAACAAATGCAGCGTAGCTACAGCTGTAGAACATTTTGAACTAAAAACAGCATGGCCATCAGACAAATCAAGAGTGGCAAAGCAGCAGGACCAGACAACATCTCAGCAGAGGCACTAAAAGCAGACGTAGCGGTAACTGCAAGGATACTCCACATTCTCTTCAATAAGATTTGGGATGAGGAACAAGTACCAACAGACTGGAAAGAAGGACTTCTGATCAAAATATCAAAGAAAGGCGATCTCAGCAACTGTGATAACTACAGGGGTATCACTCTTCTCTCAATACCGGGAGAAGTCTTCAACAGGGTATTGTTAAACAGGATGAAGGACTGCGTAGACGCCCAACTTCGTGACCAACAGGCAGGATTCCGTAAGGATAGATCGTGTACAGACCAAATGGCAACTCTACGGATCATTGTGGAACAACAATTGAATGGAATTCATCACTCTACATCAACTTCATTGACTACAAAAAGGCATTTGACAGCGTGGACAGAACAACACTATGGAAGCTTCTTCGATACTACGACGTGCCTCATAAGATAGTCAATATCATACAGAACTCATATGATGGATTACACTGCGAAATCGTGCATGGAGAACAGTTGACAATGTCGTTCGAAGTGAAGATCGGTGTTAGGCAAGGTTGTTTACTCTCACCCTTTCTCTTTCTCCTGGTGATCGACTGGATCATGAAGACGTCAACGTCTGAAGGGAGGCACGGGATACAATGGACATCTAAGATGCAGTTGGATGATCTAGACTTCGCAGACGATCTGGCTCTTCTATCCCAAACGCAACAGCAAATGCAGTAGAAGACGAACAGTGTGGCAGCAGTCTCAGCAGCGGTAGGTCTCAATATACACAAAGGGAAAAGCAGGATTCTCCGATACAACACAGAATGCACCAATCCAATCAAAATTGACGGAGAAGATTTGGAAGATGTAAAAGCCTTTACATATTTGGGCAGCATCATTGATGAACAGAGTGGATCTGATGCAAATGTGGAGGCGCGTATCGGTGAAGCGAGAGCAGCATAGTTACAACTGGAGAACATTTTGAACTAAAAACAGCTGTCCACAAGCCAACACCATAGTCAGGATTTTCAATACAAATGTCAAAACAGTTCTACTGTATGTGGCAGAAACCTGGAGAACTGCGAAAGTCATCATCCAGAAGATACAATTGTTTATTAACAGTTGTCTAAGCAAAATACTTCAGATCCGTTGGCCGGACACTATTAGCAACAACCTACTGTGAGAGAGAACAAACCGGATCCCAGTGGAGGAAGAAATCAGGAAGAAGAGCTGGAAGTGGATAGGACACACATTGAGGAAGGCACCCAACTGCGTCACAAGACTTCATATGGAATCCTCAAGGTCAAAGGAAAAGAGGAAAAACAAAGAACACATTACGCCGAGAAATGGAGACAGACATGAGGAGAATGAACAAAAATCGGATAGAAGTGGAAAGAAAGGGCCAGGACAGGATTGGTTGGAGAATGCTGGTCGGTGGCCTATGCTCCATTAGGAGTAACAGGTGTATGTAAGTAAGTCCTATTAAATAAAAAAGTCGCCGATCCACATAGAAGTTCAAGGAGTGAAGTCTTTTCCCATTCCGTTCACAGCCGTTTGAAAGCTTATGTTAAGTTCTTTTAGCTACCTTGACGCTTTCTGAAGGCCGAAACATTCTGGCGGCTCTATGATTTGACATGTTGTAAGCCACTCGAAACCAAGCTCAGCCACCACTTAATTCAGATTGTCACGTTGTCTTAATTCTGCACACGCGTTACTTTTAGCTGTTATCGGCTGATATTCTTGATAAACGTAAGTTCACGCTTTGTACTTATTAAGTCATTGGTTCACATTTACATTGTTATTTCATTTCCAGTTTCTTTCACACACTGCCCCTCACACCTCAACATACAACGTACCTTCAGGCTAAACACAAAGCCATTGGGAGTTAAACTTAATAATGTTGCCTTCAGATAATGATCCAAGTCATCCACATTGCTCATCTCCAACAAATGTTCATGATACTGAAAATCATGTGTCTAGGACTTTCGCAAATTCCTCCGCAGATTTCCATAAGTAAGTATTTTTAAATATCCCGTAAGGTTTATGCTGCCCCAGGAAACGAAAATCAAAATGGACTATCGACGATATAGATATTGGGAGGAAACTTGGCGAAGGTCGCTTCGGTTCAGTGCATCTTGCGAGGGAAAAAGCTAGTCGATTTGTCATTGCTTTGAAGGTCTTTTTTCATTCTTGAAGACCTAATTTTTTAGATACTTTTAAAGCCTAGACTAGTAACAAAGGAATTAATGAAACAAGTGCAACGAGAAATAGAAATACAGTCACATCTAAAGTAGGCGTTTTATGTTCTTCATAATAATTCTAGACACCCAAATATTGTTCGTATGTACAGTTATTTTTATGATAAGAAGCGTATTTATTTGGTCCTTGAGTATGTACCTAGAGGGGAGTTATCTAAAGAAATCAATCGCTTTGGTCATTTTGGAGATAGTCGCGCAGCAACTGTAAGTTTATTGATACTAAATGCACTTTATATATATATATATATATATATATATATATATATATATATATATATATATATATATATATATATATATATATATATATATATATATATATATATATATATATATATACGAACGAGCAGTGAGTTCACACAAATAAGTGGACTGCCGCCAATCAACTGCAACTACAGCAAATTCAGCGGAAAAATTCCTATTATTTGAAATTAACAATACTTTTCGAGAAATTATTTTGTGTTATAAAATTCTTGTCGTGTCTTTTAATAATGCCTTTTGGTGTGTTTAGCTTCTAAAAAAGTGATCTGTTCCGTGTCATGTAGTGATTTAGCTTTCATTCAACCTAAATACTGTCGAAATATGAATATGTAAGAAACCTTAAGTACATATGTGTCAGATAGTCTATAATATATACCTCAGCACATATTTGTTCGAAATCCCTTCTTATTTCTCCATATTAAGACATGAAGGTGATAAGAAAGCAAGTAATTGAATGCCGAATGATATTAGATTCCAAATATTTACGTATGGAGTTGTACATACATACACATTGATTATAGGTATTCTGTGATCTTGTTAATGAGAAACTTAGAAGACCTGTTTAGAATAACTGCATATACTGTCTATGCTTTGCAATGACATTACACTGTCCGTGTCGCTTTTGGGTTCTATGAATCATGACAAGAAACACCAAACTCTGACCGACTGTACTCCATTATTTTTATAAGGTGATAATCAACCTAATTATTTTATAATGACATTCATTTCATCACAATAATGGTACTTTTAAAGCTTCCGTACCCAAAACACAAAAGAATTAAGTGATAAGTGTTTAACGTGTATTACCTGTACGGAGATATATAAGTAGTCTGTACCGTGAATTGAAAGAAGTTCAACGGACAAAATAGGGAAATAAAGAGATGAGGAAGGAAACCAGAAAGCAACCAAAGTAACAACAGGGATGAAAGAACAATGGAGTTTGTAAGGGGTAACTCAAGGGAGATGGGTAAATGGTGTATTGTTTCCAGATTTTAAAAATACAGCGCATGATTTCCCCCGAATGCCCTGGTACGGCCGAGAGTGGGGAGAGTCCGCTCTCCCTCTCGAAATACTCTCACACGGCCGCGCGTATACAGCCTCTACCAGAGAAGTCCTACTCATTGCCTTCTCGTGGCGGGGGTGTTGTTTACGAAAATGAGAGGACGAAAAGCGAATGTCCGGCGCTTTAACCGGATCACCAATCAGTGGTGCGCATGGGCTCCAGTATCCTGCGGGAACAAATGGCGTATGAACCAATCGTTTGTCACCGGCTACCATGGGATCGCATCTCTTTACGATGCTCCACTGCCTTGTGGGTTAGACCTTTATGTCAAAGGCTCGGGGAGTGGCCCCCTAAGATAACCACCTACTTCGGTTTGGGCACCCGAGCAGTATCACAGCCCACACACAAATGATGAACTCTCTATGCCTATGGAAATTACTTTTCTCGCTTCGAAAAACAATCAATTGATTCAAATTATTATCATTAAAATTATTGTCATTGTTAATATTGTTATTATTACTACTACTATTATTGTGATTATTGTTATTATTAATATTGTTATTGTTATTTTCCACATTATTCACCCTCTTTTATACTTATACAGCGGCTCGTCTTTGGTGGAAATTCGACTGTATCTAAACGTTCTCGAGTCACTGTCCGGTTGAAAATTGTATGTTACCACCGAATACGAGGACTGAAGTAGTTTTTCTGAAACCACGTTCACCATTCAAACTGGCTGCCTTCAACGTTCGCACATTTATGCAGGTCGGACAACAGATGGGGCTGGCTATGTCTTTGGAAAGTCTTAATATTGATGTTTGTTGTCTATCCGAGACCCGTATTCAAGACTCTGGCGAAGTACTACAAATTCGATCTTCGTCTGGTCTTGCTGGCGTTGGTGTCTCACTAAGCGCTAGAGCTGAGGCAGCACTAATCGATTGAATCCCCATTAACAGTCGGTTATGTGCTGTTAGATTGGAAAGTTTTATCAAGGTGAGAAGAAGTCGGCGTGAGAAACGATGACTTTTCGTCATCTCCGCCCATGCCCCGACAGATTGCAGCCCGGATGCAATCAAGGATTAGTTTTACCACCAGTTATCTGTTCTTCTCCAGAAAGTGCGTTAACAGATATTGTGGTACTAGCCGGCGACTTGAATGCTCAGGTCGGGCGTCTAGGCACAGAAGAGAGTCGTTTAGGTGGCCGATGAGGACTCGTTGGTCGCAGGACAGATAACGGGGACCGTCTACTGCAACTTTGCACAGACCACAACCTGTTTCTGGCTAGCACTAACTTTCGGCACAGTCATCGCCGATGTGCCACCTGGCGTCCTCCCTCTGCATCTCAAGCCTGAACTCAGATTGATCACATCGCGATTAGCTACCGCTGGCGTGGTTGTGTACAAGACTGCCGCTCCTTTTGGAGTACCTATCTGGACTCTGACCATGCCTTGGTCTGCGCCAATCTTGCCTTACTTTTCAGTGGACAACTAAGTGACTGCCATCAACGGATTGATGTTAGCAAGCTGGTTGCAACTTCTGTTGCAAGTGAGTATCGAACCGAGCTAGCCTCCAGGCTAGTTACCACTCCACCGAAAAGCATAGATGAGCATTGGTTGCAATTGCATGACGCCATGAAAATGGCGGGTACAGTCAATTGTGGGTTCGCGAAACGTCCCGCTTATAAGCACTGGGTTTCTGCAGGTTCCTTACAACTCATTGAAGCCCGTCGGTCTACTCCGGGTGACCGTGAGTTTGACCATAAACGAAGGATTTTACGTAAGGAAATTGGGCAAAGCTTGCGTAAGGACCGAGAAGCCTGGTGGTCGAAGCGTGCTAATGAGCTGGAAGCAGCAGCTGCATCTGGTAATTACCGGAAGCTCTTCCAACTCATCCGAGCCACTGGCAGCAAGAAGTCTGGTGTGAGTGAAACAATCTGCGAGGATGATGGGATGCCAATCACTAACATCCATCGACGTCTTGGACTATGGGCAGAATTTTTCTAAGGGCAGTTCAACTGGCCTGCTGCTGCGGTAACATCGGTTAAACTGTCCTGCCCTCCATGGGCGGTGACGACTGATCCACCAAACGAGGAGGAAGTCCGCAAGGAACTCCAACTCTTGAAGCGTTACAAATCACCTGGCCCAGATGACTTACCTCCGGCTCTTCTTAGAGATGGTGGTGACTTTTTGACTAAGGAATTGACGACTTTGTTTACAAAGGTTTGGGAACTAGAGAGTGTACCAACGTCATGGAATGAGTCGATAGTTGTCCCTATCTTTAAAAATGGTTCACGTCTTTCCTGTAACAACTATCGGGGGATAAGTCTACTTCCGATCGCGTCCAAGCTATTGGTTTCCGTCATACTTCGTAGGTTGTTCAAAACCCGAGAAAGATTGACTCGCGAGGAGCAGGCTGGGTTTCGTTCTGGTCGAGGATGTATTGATCATATAATCACCCTCCGCCAACTGTTGGAACACCGCCATACTTATCAAAGGCCAACAATCGTAGTGTTTCTTGACATCAGGGCTGCCTTCGACTCGTTGGACAGGACTGTTCTCTGGGATTGTCTATTGAAGAAGGGTGTGCCTGAGAAGTTTATTAACATCCTAAAAGCCCTATATACAAACACCTCAGGCAGAGTGAGGGCATACAACCACCTCTCTCCGTTGTTCCATTCGAGCAGTGGGGTTAGGCAGGGTTGCCCAATCTCACCATTCCTCTTCAACTTTGCCATCGATGACATTCTGGAAACAGCTCTGATGAATGTAAGTAATGGTGGTGTGGATCTGTTGCCTGGAGAAAGACTTCTCGACCTTGAGTATGCGGACGATATTGTCTTACTGTGCGATAATGCCCAAGGCATGCAATCCGCACTTAATCAGTTGGCAATCAGTGTCCGTAGGTATGGTATGTGCTTTGCATCTTCGAAGTGCAAAGTACTTCTACAAGACTGGCAGGATTCTAATCCTGTACTCACCCTGGATGTTGAGCAGATAGAAGTAGCCGAGAAGTTCGTGTATCTGGGTGGCTGCATAAGTGCTGGTGGGAGTGTGAGTGATGAGATCAATGCACGAATAGTGAAAGCCAGAGCGGCTTATGCCAATCTGGGCCACCTTTGGCGCCTTCGTGATGTTAGTCTGGCTGTAAAAGGTCGAATCTACATCGCGTCGGTGAGAGCAGTTTTGCTCTATGCTTGTGAAACCTGGTCTCTCTGAGTTGAGGATGTTAGACGACTTTCTGTGTTCGATCATCGCTGTCTCCGAAGGATTGCTGACATTCCGTGGCAACACCATGTCAGTAATGCAGAGGTTCGGCATCGTGTGTTCGGGCACAGAGATGATCATTCAATTAATGTCACCATCTTGAAACACCGACTTCGGTGGCTTGGACATGTTCTCCGGATGTCGTCCCAGAGAATTTGCCGACTCTGGGACTGGTTGTAAGAAGCGGAGAGGTGGTCAGTGCATGACATGGTGTCGTGCTATGAAAGAAAGCTGCAAAGGACTGGCTTCTGTTGGTCGTTCATGACTCCCTGGTTGGGGTCTGAGAGATGGTGCTACACAGTGGCTAGAGATGTTATCAGATATGGGTCAGAATAGAAGCCAGTGGCGATCCTGCTGTAACATTCTTTTACTTTTTTCATAAAAAGTGGTAGTGTCTCCCTTTTCTTAAAGATTTCTTCCGATTGTACCTTTGCGTTCTCTCATTACTACCACACTACCTTACACCAATCTCTTCGTTATTGTTCTCTTTTTTTTCTATTTCTCTTTGAATTCTCATTGTTTCGTGTGGCGCATATATATTGGCGCTCTCTTGTACCAATATTTATGTGTTCAAATAAATAAATAATCAAAGTATGATGAGAGTCTGAACATGTATTCCGGAACGAGAGGCAACCTTCTACCGAGCCTCTTCAATGATGACAAATGGCTATATGCTGTATTTGGGTCAACTAGCTTGGTTCAGGGGATCGCTATGTTGGACAATGTCTCTCCTTATGCCTGAAACTAATGCTTGTTCAAAATAAACTATTGTCTGAGCATAGTTACAACAGACAGTCACCATTATTTGTTTTTGAGCTACATCAGTAGTCAACGGTTGACTGATCACAGTTTATAAATAGGCTATAATCTGTCTTTAAGAATACCTTGAAACCCTTTCCAGTAGTGTCGAAAAACTCATGCTTGTTGTAAATTGTAGTCGCACCTGTTCCTTGGTGTTATACAGTTTTTTTTCCTCCTACATTATTGTCGTTAATTTTAACTTTACATGGTTTTATGATTCATAACTCCCGGTGTTTTTAATATTCTTCAACATTTGATACTTGAGGACTGATATCACCGTATTCTTCATAACGAAACGGAAATAGTATTTTTCAATCCATGGTCTAACAAATAAGAGTTGACTTTTTATAAAAAATTTAGAATACGAGACACCTGATTTCTGTCTCCAAGTGAAACAACGAATGGTTGAACATAATTTCGTGTCCAAGTAAATATTAAGAGGTTGCACTTGATAACACTTAGTTGTAGTTCTTGTCAACGTCACCTAGATGATTTTGTGATCATGAAATCATTTTAAGTGGCACGAATAAGTCGTCTCATATTTAATTGCTTAGGTTTATGATGTCTTTTATATTCATGTATATAAAGCTGACCTTATTTACATATATAACAAGGCATATCGTTCATGTTTTACAGTACGTATACCAGCTTTCCAAAGCTCTTTCTTACTGTCATCAAAATGATGTTATACATCGAGATATCAAACCAGAAAATATACTCCTTGGAGCTCGCGGTGAAGTGAAGATTGCAGATTTTGGCAGCGCAGTGCACTTACCAGCTTCACGGTAGGTTTTATTTCTCTTTTTCATACAAGTAATTAGACGTATGACTACTTTCGGTACGCTCAATTACTTGGCTCCCGAATTGTTCCATTTGGAGTGTGTTCATGATCATCGTGTAGACATATGGAGCTTGGGAATACTAACTTTCGAGATGCTTACCGGTCATTTACCCTTTGATGGTGAAACCTTCCAGGAGATCTCCGAAAAGATCCGAAATGCTGATGTTTCATATCCAGATACATTAAATCTGGGTGCGACGAAGCTCATTACTAGTGTAAGTTCATTTCATAATTATAGTATTTAATATTTCTCACTTTTTGATTACTGGTTGATTATTGTGTACATTGAGATACTGTTGGTATTGTATCGAAAATAATTTCCTAGGAATATGGTGTTGGCTATGAGTGGAGTTTATGTTGTGTGAAGTTAGATCATGCTAACGATAAAGCACCATACGAGCATTATATTCGAGGAAGTTAAATTACTATAGTATTTTGCAAATGACTTTTTCTGCTTAATAAATTACTTGTTAGTGGCTTTCAAATTTCTATTCTTAGATGCTCAAGAAGTTGTCAAGTCAAAGGGTTTCTTTAAATGAAATCGATAATTATGACTGGATTAAAATGCATGCTGAATTTTCTGTCAATCAATGCAAAGCAGCTCTTCAAGATTGGGAAAATGTTAATAATCAAAATTCTACTTGTCCTTCATCTAGTAGTTACGAGTGCTCATCTACATTTGTAAATACATTTTTAAACGATTGATATTTTCATATATTTCACATTGCATTACCACTTGTTGTCTTTCAGGATATCTTAATATAACAATTAAAAAGCTTATCATTTTAATTATAAATGGTTATCATTTTTACCATAATCTATATGCTCATATGTACATGTATTTGCATGACATTAACCTCTTTCACTATTCTATCATAAATACTTGATAGACATGTTTTATGTTATTATTACGTATATCTGTAAATTAATTACACATATATTTGAAGAATGTTATTTTATTGTTGCATATTTAATTTAAGGAAAATTCTAGGAGTCTGAACTTTTTTATTACTTAAATCTTGGGGTATTGTCTTAAGATTAATAAAGTTGTACAATTTGAAATTTATTTATTTAAAAGATTCACTTAATGAGATTCCATCTTATCTATATACTGACCTCTTTGTAATCTAGTGTTGAGATATCCGGTTAACACATTAAGCGGTTGTGGTAATTTTAAAAGCTCATAATTTCATCTTTATTAAAATTAAACTACTTGTAAATTTCCTGTCGAGAGTATCACTACCAAAGTTTAAGATGTCGTTTTACACTTTTGCTTTGAATTTCATTTATTAACACGGTTCGTTGTCTAGCCACTAGTCCATGTTCAACAAAATGAACTGTTAGTCAGTTGTGGGAAATCCTAACGGCTCTATTCTCATTAAAATATGTGTCGTTATCATTGTCCAGAAGTGCAATAAAAGCTTCACGCATCAACCAACCAGCTCGGAGAACATAAAACATTCAAAGTCCTCGTTTTCAGCAAAAAACCAAAAATCATCTCTGTTTTAAGTAGATAATGAACTAGGTTAATAGGTCCTACAAACAGTTTACAATGCAAAGACATTTCGAACATTCTTCTTTGTTTACTTTTAGTAACGAGAATCCTTATAACATATTAGCGGAGCTTCAACGACATTTCGATCATCTACAATTTAGGATTACGCTTCGGTTGACAAAATGATTTGAACTAAAGATGGTAATGGAATAAAGTTTGTCATAAAACAATATTCACGTGTTCATGCCTTCTGTTTAAATTAGGCACTAGATTGGTGGCTATTAATAGAAAATATCAGCCTTCATCCCTTCTATTCCTTTTGTTTTCATTCTGTTTTGCTTTGGTTAGATAGGTTTGAAATTCATTAGCTTTGGCAGTCAACTCATTCATAAATTTAGAGATCCGAACTCACCAAAACCTATTGTGTCAGAAAGTAATATGAGCATACAGATGTAAAATGCCTGATTCACTAAACTGCTTTTACTTGGATGTTATTACTAGGTTTAGCATTATTCTTTTATGCTTTCGTCACTTGTATTTTGGATTATTTGTAGCCAATTAACTACATTGTTTACATTCATCCCAGTTCTGAGGATTTTTGCTGCCTTTCAAGAAGATTGCCTGTTACCAAAATTAGTCGAACTAACCGATGCTTCTAAGCTGACGCCAAGTTGAGGATTTTTTGAAGAACCTTTCAGGAGCTAAGTTGTCTTGGTTTCATTAACTCAGGTTTATGACCATGAAGTTATAAATATATGCTTGAGATTGATCAGCCACGTCTGTACGTATATCTGTTTCTCAATCTTTGGTCCTTAAATAAAACCTTATTAAATGTTATTGAGCTTCGCTAAGTTAGCTATTTATGGTATTTTAGACGTTTCACCTTGCAGTTATTCTATGCTGTTACTCTAGATGCCGATATCCTGGTGAAATCAATATTAAATTATCAGTGCACAACATTTTCTACCTCTAATGGCTTTCGAATGTAATAATCGCCAAGCAACTTACTTGTAAATAAGAAGAGAGTAACAGTACAATAGCTTGGCTCGCTTTAGTCACTGTTACGATGTAAACGCAAATTAACGTTGCCATAATTATATAAGGATTCTCAAATTATATTAACCTGGTGGTCCAGTTAGTTTGATACAGTTATCATAAAATGGCAAAAGTCATTTGCTACATGTTTTTTTTGTAAATAAAGTTCTAAAGACAAAAAAGGAAAATTCGGTTACATATGTAGTCCACAATAATGTAAAAACTAGTTGTATATCAACTGGATAGAAGATTAAAGAATAGTTCGTTAGTGAAATGTCCACTCAATTTAAATGCAAAGCCCAAGGAAGCAATAAGCCAAACCGGAGTGAAGAAATGTCTAATTAAGTGTTACTTAGTTCTCCTTCTATTACAGTTAGAAGATCTGGTTAATTTGTGTAGTTGTTGATTTTAAAACAGAACAAAGTTAACTGATCCTCAAATTTCGCGATCTTTTAAAATGTAGACGCTTCCTTGTACCTGTAGAAAAATAAACAATGATCAAGTATTCAGTAGTCATTTTCATGTGAAAAAAGTGTGAACGTTTTGCATAGGTAATTTCATGGGACTTACAAATTCAATTCATCGAGATGGGTAATTTTGTGAAATGCTTTGAATACTAATAAAGATCACCTCGAGATGTAGTATGGTATCTGGAACTTACTAGTAACTAGTTCTTGTTGACCTAGCTTCATCATTTTCTCTCCTGCATAATATTACTTTAGTTCTTCCATTCCCATGGGAGATTTTTTATTCGTTTTATTAATTTGTTCAAGTTCTATTTTAATTTATTTTTCGTCAGTCTCTTCATACGTATGATAAGAAACATGGAAAATCGTCCGCCTGTTCCATTTAATGTTTGTTAGTGGCTGTTTTAAGAAGCTAAGAATATTGTAACATATCGATCAAGTTTATTACATAAACTGAATTAGTACCTTAGGAAGGAGTTTAATCCTCACATTTCGTATTACGAAATGAGTGTTGAATAAACATTATTCTACCAGTATGTTGCCCGCACTGTCTTTTTTAAAGTTACTTTATTAGATATGATGTTATAAGAATTAGTCGTCATTGTTGAATGGCAATCTGATCTTTAGTAACTTTGGATTATTCATATTTGGTATATTTACAAATATTTGGTGTGGTAAGAATAACGTTTAGAACCAGTCAGTTATACGATTTTTACTATCTGAATCATAAACGAGATGCTTATTTTCATAGTTCAGTGTTTCATAGTCTATGTTATGGTTCGCAGTTTGTTCCAGCTATCAGATGCCTAATGAGTTTATGTTATTCTGCACAAATCATTCTTTACATTTATAAACTCAGAACAAGATAAATTAGTTGTTCAGTGATCTATGATACTCACTGGTTGATTAAGTTGCATTTGTGTTATTTTTCAGATATCGGTAATGGAAAATGAAATCTCACAAAAATGGGTAAAGGATGTTTATTAAGTAGTGGCTTGCAAGTTCATTTCGTAATCTATAATTTCTCTGAATAACATAATTTGTCATGGTTGTACAAACAACATGTTTGCAATTACAATTAAGAACAACATTTATTCGATTGCTGTCGTCATAACAAATTATTAAGAAAAGTAAAAAGAAATTACTTGATAGTCTACAAACTGGTCAAAGCAATGGAAGACGTACAGAATTTCCAAAATTTTTAGAAGATGAAATCTATCAAACGGAACCGTAATCACAAATTAATAATTACTTGGTACGAATAAAAAAAGTGATGAAAGTTATACCACTGAGGAGTATATTTTAAAAAAAAGCGGGTCAAAAGATGCAATTAAGTCTTAAGTTTGTCTTTTCTCAAGATCTCCATGCAAATGAGTGGAAATTCTAGCGAAACCATCCAACTGACGATAGAGAAACTTACCTACGTACTATTAATTACGTATCAATGTGCACCGAAGTGGATCATCCAACCGAAGGGTGGAACTCAGAAGAAAACAACATTCTTTCAGTTAGGTTTTAAAAAATTCATTGAACTAAAACACAACACATTAGCTTAACACACACTTTCCCAGCAAAAACAAATAGTTTACCATTCCCTTAAAAACTGATAATTAATGCCACTTATAACTAAAATGAGAAATTTAGAATTTATAGAAATAATTTAACCTAAATTACATAATTTTCTTAAGGACTAGAAATTAAAACTCCAGTCAAAACCAAATTAATCAATTTCACAAAACATTACAGTAGGTAATTATTAACTGGAGATAATCAGTGAAGAAAAATGATTTTTGAGATACCATTTCTCTGTATGACAGAATTCTTGAAAATAAAATAAAGCAAACTAGTGAAAAGTACTTTTATAAAACTTGTGAAACATAATAAGGGGTACAGGTGCTTGATTATGTTCATAGTTTCATTTAAGACGATTAACTAGTTGTTTTATAACAAAGTGCGAAAATCATACCACTTTTAGACTAGTCAGCCATAAAAATCATGTACAGTTATTTGTGAACTAAGTGTAAATGACTGAGTGCTTTCTATGAAACAAGCAGTATAGTGCAAGATATTTGATCAAAATGCTCAGAAAATAATTACAATAATAATGAAACAAACGAAATCAAAGGTATTTTATGTGAAGCAAGATAATACGAAACAAGTTGAACCGTCAGTGACGTCCTATTATTTTGTTTTTCCTTATAGAAATAACTAATTCTGTTTATTCCATTTGATTAATTTTTAAACACAGTAAGAGAGTGCTTAACAAATCAATATTAGACTAATAGATTTAATTGGAAATAAAATCACCACAAATTATATAAGAACTTTCGTTTAAATTTGATCGGATAGTTTCACAGTGTTCGGTTGCCGAATAGATGTGAGACATTAAAAAGGAAGAATGTATTTGTAAAATGTCAGTGAATGAATTTGAAGTAAATCCAATATTTTCGCCGACCAAAGACAATATATCGTGAATGAAATTTCTTCTCATACCACATACGTATACACACAATCTGTTATCTTAACACTTTTCGTTTCACACCACATATCTCTTACACACTAATGCAAATACCTACTTTTAACATGATTAACATTGATTGGATAACCTGTTTAGTATACACAGAACTATGTACCTATTTATATTCGATAATTTTGATGTTTGATTATATTTTTTTGAGAAAGACTGCCAGGTGAAACGTTGGTTTACTTCAAATTTATTCACTAAGATTTTACAAATACATTCTTCCTTTTTAATATCTCACCAAAAATTAACTTATACTACATTATGTGACTATAATTTTATGAACTGCTAAATTACAAAGATTAATAAATAATAAATAAAAATGTAAACGACTTCCGTGTGATTGTTCTTTTTCGAATAAATCTGCCAATATGTGTAATTTTAAACAAAAGTAATAATAATCATTTTTAAGAAAAAAAAAGGCAAGTGAGATTGGCCGAAATAAAATGTGATGATAATAGTAACTGTTTAAATTTAAATAAAATAAAAATAATTTTCATTAGTTCATTATAAAATATTTTGTGCTCATAACTAGGTAACTCACGATATATTAACATCGATCAGTCGAGTTGTCTCTTAAGCCTATAGATATACAATATAAATATGATTGTATTTAGATCGGTAGATCGAAAATTATTACAAGTTTTAAATAACAAAATCTACACTTTATTTAAGTATTAATAATAGTAACAATAATAGAAGGTAGTCATGAGTTGAAACAGATTAGGATAGACACATTTTCAGTTTAGGGTGAAGTTATATCATCATTTTTAAAGGTCAATGGAAAGAAATTCAATACAAGAGAAATAAATAGGCTGAAGTTATCCAGTTATGGTAGTTGTAGCTCATTTGAAAATTTTTATTCCTGTTGTTAGTAATAAACTATATATTGATAACTTTGTAAAACAAATTTGAATTTGAAATCATTGAACTATCAATGAGAAAATTGTTCAGTCAGCTACAACATAAAACCAGGCACATATATGCATCAGTCCAAGGTGCCACATCTCATTAGCACAACAAGATAAACATCGGATTCATAGAAGTAGTTTCTTCAGTGATAGAAATATATAAAAGAAAAATTGTGTATAAGGGTATAGTACAGGAAGAAATAATTAGTCGGTAGAAAGAAAGATATAAAGCAACTTTAATCTCAATTTAAGTGAAGACAGAGAGTGTATACATCTATTTGAAGAACAAAACAAAAATGAGTAAACATTTTTGGATGCGTTTTGAAATCATGATCTAATAACGTCAGCTAAATAAATCATTAAAATGAACTAGAAGGCACAAATAGGTATTTGATTAATACAAAATTTAAAAAAATAATGTTAAATACATCTTTATGGTTATTATGATCAATTTTCATGAGTAATGTTACGTATATTCTGTAACTTACCGTTTTCAATACCTTTAGATTAATAAATAGAAATCCACATTTACATTAAAATATATTTATATAAAATAACAATTATATAGTGTTTTTTCAATTATTTACCAGGTGAAGTAGATGGTCGTACTGGTGAACATGAACGTGAAGATATGCGACCACGATATCGATCTATCCCTCTTCGATTATCCGAAGACTAAAGTATGATTTAAAAATGGTAATAAAACAAAGAGAATAATTTATAAACTTTCTTTATTGGGTTTGTCAGTATGAGTTAGTGTGGCAAAATAACATATGTCATTAGCCAGAATTTCAATTGCTTGATCTATTTATATGAAAATGACCAACTATCTACCTACCCTATTCGACTATTTCAAGACCAAACAAAAAATAGTGACAGACCCAACTTGCTAAATTAACAAACACTGATTAGACAGGTGTGTACTTAAGTTAAATGCTTTAAAGCTCATCGATGATAACAGATCTGTTTTATTATAACATTGCTGATACTAACGACTGCCTCAAGTATTTGGGTCATCTATTTTGCAAATGTACAGATATAATAAGAAAACATCCCTTTTTTAAATTTCTTTGGTCCGAATAATTTTGAATCCACTGTGTGTGCCAACGCGGTATTGTGAAATGTTGAGGACTTACGATGCTTCAGGCTAAAAATTTCAAACTGAAGCACTGCGTTTCCTGGTATATTTTTTTTCTTGTCTACTCTGAAAATAACAAGAGACAGGTGTGTTGGAAATCATGCTTTCAGTATCTGATGGACGAAAAACGTAATTTTAACACCTGATGTGATAGTAAAATTTAGCCATGGAGGATGAGTAGAGAAGAGCAAACAATGGTAAGACATTTGTAGACTGTAGTTGTTAAATATTTTACTGTTTAAATATATGTCAGAGAAAAATTTATTGCAATAATGTCAATTGTTTCGGTTAATTCCTTACTGCTGCAAAATTTGTAGTGATTAATAATGCTATTATTATTAAGACTTTCCGAAGAATTCTTCAGTCTCCGAAATACTAAGAGTATTATTTTTGTATTCTTTCAATAACCAAGATTTTTATACTCTAATTTATATGTCTTTAGTATATTCAGACTGTTTCTTACTGGATCCTTCGAGTTTAATATATTTTTATTTATTTGAGGATTTAGTAGACAATTGGGTTGATAGTTTTTTAAACATAAGCTAAAATGTTACACAGTAGTTCAGTCCAAGTTATTATACTTCCAAATAACAGAAAAGTTAATCAGAATAACATGCCATTCAAAAAAGTGAATCACGAGACATATACGTGCAATCAAATAGTAATACAATATGGCAGAAGAGAATGGTCGAAATTTGTGTTTTAAAAGTAATGAACGAGTATATTTGGGTGATAATATGTGTAATTTAAAGCTATTCAAACAATGATCCTCAACTTCTAATATTATCAAGATACTAAAAAAGCCTTTAATTAGCAGTTTCTGACCAAATTTGAACAGGTACTGTGTTGATTCAAAACTTTGGGTGAGTTATTACAGGATTATGAGTTAAACAGTTTTATTATTTTGCATGTATTGATGATAGAAATAACATTATGTCACAAGTAATATCCGATTATATTATTGGCTGGTTAGTTTTAAAGCTTCTTCATTAAATTATAGAGTCTGTGACACAATAAACATAAAGTTCAATAAGGTTGTTGCAGTGCAGTCCAACATACGGACGAAATATCTTCTTTAAAACTCTTTAAATAAAACAAATGGTTTATCAGCTTGAAAAATATAAACTTAAATATAAGCTGGTTTAAATTCACTTTAACTCCATATGAAATAAATAGAAAATTTTACAGTGCATTACGACTGAAATGATACTATCAAGTAGAAGTTATTCCACTTTACTGGTGAGGAGTCTTATGCTTAGGTGAAGCATCTATCTCGAACGTTTTTTCTTTTTTGTATTTGTCTAAGCTGGTTATTGGTTTCCATAAAAAATCTCCTTAATTGATTGAATACGATAAATAAATATCGGTAATAGAGATATTGATTTATGCTATATCATTCATCACCAACGGAAATATGTTCTTGTTTACCTGACGTTATGACCTTATCTCAATTGAAATGGTGAAATACTTATCAGCAATGTTTGACGAAAACATAGTAATTTATCTTTGAATTTTGGATTAAAGTCTAATAACCTTCAAAAGGCAACCACTGAAATACATCTGAAATGTCTGAATGAATTTAGTTTGACGAAACTCATTTACTCAACTTTTTTTAAAATAAGTAATGATTTGACTACTCTTCACCAAAATAATGAATTTGTATTCTATTCAAGTATTTATTATTTATGAAAAAGTATCTTACCATAATTTCAAAACCATATGAATTAAAATTTCCCCTGGTGCATACTTCTCCTTTAGCAACAATCCTCTCATTTTGCATTAAACATGGCCATATGTGGTGATGAATTAATAATGTTGGATAAGATGAATCATGACTACGCCTATATCTACAGTAAACATAAGGAAATAAACGGAAAAAGAGATGGTAAACTTGATAAAATGTAGAATAATATCATACTTTGGTTACTAGTCAACTATACAAAAAGTTTCCTGACAAACAGAAAATATCTTAAATAACTCAACTATTAATAATTAGTGTATTAACTTCAGCAATTTATATCATATGAGTGACTGAATAAACAATAGTTTTAAGGTGTAATTACAATCTCCAGAAACTTTATAAAATGTCCAATGTGTTTTTTTATGTTCGTTGTTTAGATATACGTTCATTAACATGCGACAGTTGGTATTAAATAGCACAAACTATTTCAAGTCACTCTGCTCAATAAAGCTTAGGTAAAATAATAAAAAAAACATTGATTTGCATCTGATATCATATAAGTCTTTAATTTTGAAAAAATATCAAACAGTTAAAAAACATTCTTACATACATGAGTTTTGTTGGTTTTTGAAGTTAAGGAATACAGGAAATTACGCTTCGCAAGTGACCCTTGATATTCAGCTGGTTTCTGATTATTTCTACAGCTGCACTTAAGGCAGTGATTTTGAGCAGATTATTTATCTACTCGTTTTTAAAACTTCTATTTAATTAGCAGTGATTAAAAATAACAATTAAGATATACGAATAAATGATCGCTTCAAGCATATTTTTCTTAATTTCCGTATCTGAATATGAAATCCTAAAGTGGTTCAGGTAACTTAAAGCTGCATTTTATTTTATTTTTTAAAATGTAATAACAGAATAATATTGGCAGGATTGATTGTATCCAGGAACAAAAATAGTCCAAACTTCGACAATGGTAAGCTAAGGAAAAATATAGTGATAATAAGCACAAGGCTTCATTTGAAAGATGATCTAACATGAAGAATGAAAATGGGAACAATTTTTAATCCTATTAATCTTCATCACTTTTGGTACTAGTGATATTCCCCAGGCACTTAGAGCCAGCAGTTAGACAATCACTTGAAGTCAAATAAAACTCGAGTTGTAGTTAGTTATAATTCGTCAGAATCTGGGCTGATAGTTTGATTTGTTATATAGTGCACTACATGACCTGACAGTATGCCAAGTAGTTTTCACCAAAAACAATTCTTTTTTAACCAATTATCGTACTGACAACAAGCGAAATCTATATTTGATTACACTGGGTAGGGGGTCTAGTTTTTGTCTCATGAATTAAACTATTCCTCACAAAAAGACGGCTAAGAGACTACCAGATTATATTAGAGTCTCTTAATTCTTAAATTCTCCATATTATGTCGAACGATTTTAGGATCTCGATCATTTTTACGAAAATGTTTGTACACGAAACTTTATAACAAATGATGTTAAGGAATACTTTAGGTGATTCGCTTACTTTGCCTCGTCGATCAATTCATTTTCACAAGCTGGTCTACAAATTTCGAGCGGATGACTCAAAGCAGCACATTCCCAGGCAAGTTTACATGTTTCATAAAGAAAATCTTTAATAACTTCGAAACCAAGATTCTGTGATGGTCGGCGAATACGTGGTACACGGCGTTCCAAAGCTAAACATGCATCTTTAACAAGTAATGAAATATCAGCTGAATGACTAGCATGAATGTTAATGTACGACTGTACCAATTCATCTAATGTTTCTGTTGTGATTAAATTATTCGCTGCAATCTGTTTACGTACACGATTTTTATATGCTCGAAAATGTGATTTGGCTACATGAAATGAGTCCTTGAATAAAGAGATGAAAAATAATGTTTATTAATATATAGAGTGCATAAAAAATGATTGTTTCATATCATATTGAACTTCAACGATAGATTCTAATGACGGATAAAAATGTATGTACAAAATGGAACTACATAACTTGATATCACGAAGTTAATCCATTAAGATTTAAAATGAATGATCATAACAATAAAATTTAGAAATTGGAGTTTATGTACAAAGAACTAGTGTATCCAGAAGTTATTCGAAATACCATTCTCAAACACCTTATGTAATCAGTCGTATCAATTGCATCAAAATGTGACCGTAAAATATAAAATATCAATAGTACATGTAAAAAATGAATAACTGTTTCGTTTAACCTTGATACTTGATAGTAGCAAGCACTCATGCGTGTCATAAAAATCAAGTTTTGGATTTATAGGGTGAGTTTACATTACTTTCATTTATGAACTTTAGAATTTAAGGAAGTGAGCCTATCCTCTTTAGCTTGGATGACATAAGAGATGTAGTTAAGAGACAGAAATTATCACAGAATAATAGAAAGTACGTAACTTCAGGCTTCAACTTTAAAAATTGTTTGGAACTACGCAAGTGAAACTGATTTGAACCACTATCACACAAAGTTTTGAGTCTTGAATTTTGTTTACGGTACATATCTTAACAAGAAACTTTGTATCTGGAATGAATGTTTCGGTAGTACTGTGTGCACATGTTTAAATGGTCTTCTGAGAGTTGCTTTACCATTTGGTTCCTTACATTTGTATAGATCCAATTATAACAGTTTACGCGGCAGTATTGGATTGCAGTCACTAAATATTTATAGTGATAAGATATTTTATTGAATGTACAACATATAAGATTGATTACATATAAGAGCATTGGATTATCTAGTTTCATGTCCACTGCGATTACATCATTCAAGTAGTCAGGCTTATTTGCTGGAAAAGAGACAAAATAATTGTGCAAAAATTGATCGTTTGTGCTGATTCCGCGCATCATATTAATTGATTTCACTTAACTGCCAATACAATATCCGACTGCTATTTATGTCTCCAAATCCTGAATTCTTTACATTCTATACATTTACTTTCCTATAATTCGTCTTATTTCGTTCCAGTTCCACAAGTTTTCGTTATGATGATTTTTTTCATTATTCTCTAGTTAGGCAAACTGATAAACATTGAAGGAAGTCTTTATTTTATCCAATTTTTTTTCAGGATCGTCAGTCAACTGTCGGATAAAAATATTGTTTTTTAATTAGTTCAGTTGTATTGATTAGTTGGTTGCCCATAGTGATTGATGACACAACCAATCTACTTGATATTGATTAAAATGACCATAATATGATGAACTCACAGGTTATTTATACTTTAACTCTTTAAATGTAAATAATTACAGTAATCTTCTGAGAATATTTAATACAGTAAGCAATTATGCGGTCTTGTTGGTAGCAGTTGGACCTTCATTTTCATCCCTGACTATCCATTTTTATCTGATGAACAAAACTGACTTCCTTGAATGTTAAGTACGACTGAGATGAATTCCTTCCTCTCCCTCTCTCTGTATACATATATATAAACAACTGACTGATTAATCCATGACCCTGATTATTTCGATTGACATAACATGAAATGATCGGGATGGTCTCATAGGTTTTAAGCCATGTTAATCATTAATGAGTTTAAATTTATGCGGCACAAAGAGTTGAACAACATGAAATACGCTACTGGTTTACATTTCTATAACATGCTTTATTTAAAAGATTATCCTACCTTCTTAAGTATTTTTATATATAATGACAAAATAGTCTACAAATCATTTGTGTAATGTTTCCTTTATCTGGATATAATTTTAGTAGGAAAATTAATAACTGTGTTGATTTATTATAAATAAAAGTTTGTGTTTAAATCAACTACTTTTCTACTTTGTTTTTTCGCGGCTAAGAAAGAACAAATTTACATCATTTCAAAATCTGGTCGCAATAGATTTATGCTGGTTACTAAAGCAACCATAGTGACCTTGACTTTTATTAGCCCAGTCTAAAAGAGAGTATGATAATTGTATAATTAACGTGATCAGCATTGTTTATTTTAAGACATAAAATCAAAATGGATGTGATAGAAAAGATATTAACATCAATATGTAAATAACAAGTAATAGTCAATCAATATTTTGTATTGGTTGATTTGGAGAAAAAAAACAGTTTCAGAGATTAAACAAATGGAGAAGAATTTATATGACGAAGAGTTACACAGTTTTATTTTAAGAATGAAATAAACGACTAAAATATATGATTTGTTTCCCTGTGCATCACGTTGTATGTTGAGTTTTAAACTCGTTAAGTAAGATAACTGATCAAAATTTCTGCTCAAAGCACAAAAACAATACATTCAACAAAATTTAAGAAAAAAATAATGCAGAAATACTTTAAAAGTTCAAGAGCACGGGTATCCGGATAATGATAAAATACATATCTGAACTATTTGCTAGCCAAATCAGAGGAATAAAATCACTTGAAAACGGTTTATTCTTAAGAGATTTGGCTCTCTAACTATTTAATCTGTAATAATAGTAGAAGCGAGTTTTTGAACAAAAACAAATATTCAATCTGTTAATCCTTACATTCATTTCCTGCTAGCTTGACTGTGAAACAACCTCTTCTGTTTGACTTCTTTTGAATATTTCTTACACTTTGTTGTGTGGCATTTCTTTCTTAATACTTTTTTGTGTTTCATCAGGTGGTTCTCAAAAGTACATTGTAGTCATCTAAATTATCAAATTTCTCATATTTCAAATAACGTATAAAGGCGAAACTCTCTCATTAATTCCTTTTCGGTCTCATGTACTTCAATAATTTGTTTCATTAAAATCAACTGTCAAGCATACTTTTTTGAAGTTTTTAAACTAAGAAAAAAGAGTTACGTAGAATTTGCCAATTTTTAGTGCCTCTTCAATAGATTTCGATTTCGATCCAAAGCAATCTCTACATTAAAATAGTGTCTGTAAAAGACTAAACTGCACATATTATTGAAGTTGATTGGTTCCAAAAAAGCTTCTTGTTGAAATATGCTGTTTTACTTAAACTGCCTTACAAAAAATATATCATCTAATGATTTCAGATAATAAATGATAATTTGATGCATTATATTTCTAATCCAATTCATTACTGATTTTTGATAAATATGATGGGAAGCCTTCATGACTAGTTAGTGTTTGCTGATTAATGTTGTAGTTTGACGTTGATGTGAAAAGTGTCACAAACCATGAACCCTTAGGTCATACGGAGAACTATTTCATTTTTAAAACTTAACATGTAGACAACCTCATAACATGATACAATTTATCCTCTAACGTGACTTTAACTTAATTGATTGATTAAAGAGATCATAAAATCTCTAAAGACAGAGGATAATCACTTTAAATTGTTAATAGATAAGCATCGATATTTAAATTACGGTAATTAACTAAGATATCGGTGTCAGCCAGAAAGTAGTACCTATGAACTACAGGTTACATGCATTTAAAATAGCCTTCAAAAATATTTAGTTTTCCAAATCTTGAAAATCCTAGTGTTTTACCCTCATCTTTCAGTCACCATTTGTATATTCATTTCTTCTGTTTAATAGATGGCTTGTTTCAGTTTTTTAAGCTTCTTTTTCACAATGATGTCAAGAAAGTTACACTTTCTCTTTCTATTCGATATTTAAGAGCCTAAAGAACCAGAGCTTGAGCGTAGACGAAAGGAAGGATATTTGTCAATTACATCGTAGATACCAATTTCCTTCAGTTAATCACTAGTCATTTCGGGCAAACTTGCATATGAAGAATATTCTTCTTTAGAAACTAATCACTAAAGTCGGTTTGTTTGGAAATTCATAAAACTGAAATAAGTAGAAGTGCAAAATTTAAATTTTAAATTAATAATGTGCAAACTAACCAAAACTGTATAGAAAATAATTTTTTGGCTTGCTTCATAATCGTCTATGTAACGCCTTAAAATACCCATTGCTTCAACTCGATGCAATGAAAATAATTCATTAAAACGCATTACCAAAATGTGCTGCCTGTATCGTTGGATCGGATCATTTGGACTTAGCGGACTAACACCAGTTAGCATAGATGGTGTTAAATCTGAGGGGGCTGATAAAGACAGTGGTCCAACATCTTTTTCTTCATACCTTTTTCCAAACAAAAAAAGTTGATAATTATTGAACAGTACAGTATGCTACAAATAGGAAAGTCAGATGAAGAATATGCTAAAAACATGCGACAAACTCCAGTCACCCATTAAATATTCCACGTAAAATGAGGCGATTTTCTTCAAAAGTTAAATCTATTTTTCGTTTTTCACCAGTTGCATCTAAAATGCTGGACTTTTCTATTAACATTCACTAACCTCTTTTCAGGCGCTATTATGATACTAGCTCCAGCATTCATAATTACATGAACACTGTTACGGTGTAATTATAGAAATGCTGAAAAATTGCAATTGAAAAATGAATACCTGAAAATAACACATATTTTTCGATTTTATACATGCTTCTGTAATTACGTTTGATAGAATATTAAAGTCGTCACCAAAAATCTTAAATGTAAGGTTTATATAAGAACGAGAAGTCAATCAATGGAATTGTTATTTATCGTCGGCGAAATCGTTAGACAGATGCTGGGCATTTTCGTTTGGCAAGACCTAAAAAACGGTTTTGAAGATCAAGCAACTGAAACTCCGATTTGCTTACATTTTTCAATGTCTTTAACTCCATGTTTTATTTGTATGATTTAGAGATGCATGGAGGCCTGAATTTTGGGTGAACTAAAATCAACTTTAAATTCGAAAGCACATGAATTTAAGGTGTTTGATTGTTTCAAAGTTGCTACATCTGCTATTGTTTGATTTTTTGCGTCCAATTCTCTTAATAATACCCTCAAATGATAAGTTTTGAGATTTGTTCAATTAAATGACACGTTTTTTAATTTAGAAAGTCAATGTCGGTTTCACTCTTTGTTTTACGAACTCATTGGGGTTGATCACATATAGTCGTGCAACCTATTTCCTTACAATCCTATTAAACTTCAAACGTTTTATTTTGTTAATGCACTTAGATAATGACATCAAAAAATAACTGTGGTTTAAGTTTTTTTATTTTATGGTCATCCATCAGACAGGCCTCCAGAATAGTAGAGGTAGTAACAGTATCAATGGTGGTAGAAAAGATTAGGCATCGATGTCACCATTCGAGAAGAAAATAAAAATTAGCGTGATAAAAAAGTTGTGAGAAATATAGGGTTTTAAAATTTGGTGGGAACCATAGAATGGATGCACCTGCGTTACTGCAAACGGTTTTCAACAATGTCATTCAAAGTCTCTGATTATTGGTTAAGATAATCACGCGGATCTTAACCAGATAGTCTACACATGTTAACACGGCCAAGTCCAATTTTCAGTGACTTCGTACACCGATACTATATCTTGGTTTTGCCACCTCTATCTCTTCCGCAGCCTATTTCTGCACCAAAACACATCGCTATTCGAGGTAGCCGTTGGTTGACATGCGTAGCACACATCCCAGTTACTTCATTCTATGGAGATTTACTAACTCTTCAATCTATTTCCTATCTCCACCTAGTATCCTACATCTAACCCAGGCAATGATTACTCGGTTGTCCGCGCATACACGAACAGTTCTTTGAAGCAACAAAAATTTGTAGACTTTAAGTGAGATAATTTATATGAATTGTTGCTCATTAGTCCTAACTAGGCTGGTTTAACGTTGAAACACCAGTGTAAGTAAATGTGAAATAAAAACGGATATTGTTATTACCAGATTTTATTATTAATGAACATCTTTTGGACAGCGCGTTGCTGGTCGTTTATTGGTGAACCATTAAGTATAAATCAGTCATACATTTGCAAGATAGGTACCGTCAATCCATGATATTTGAATGATGACTTACATGTATCAAAAGTAATTTGTATGACTCACATTTTTGATGAAGTTGGAAGATTTTTCAGCGATCCAGAATTATCTTTAGTAAAATCATACTCGTTTTTGTTAGGACAATATATATGAGTTTTGAGACGTTCATTTTCCCCTTCCAATGAAAGTATTCTAATAGGTCAGTGAAATAAAAATATAAGCGATTTAGATTTTGAAAAATATACTCGGTTATAATAAAACACACCCGACTACTTAATTTTTAATGATTTACGTTTATTCAGTTAGTGTGAGAACTTAAAAAGTCGGCGAAAATTGGGTGCCGTTTTACTTTAAAACCTCTTTTGTTCGACAGATGTTTACTACAGTACTGTGTGCTTATTCTTTAAAAAATTTAGTGTTTGACCAGAAACTTCATATTTATTTGATATGCCAATTAAAAGCATCCTCACCTAATGAATAAATGATCGACACTAAGGTAAGTGATATTAAGGTTTATTGGAAATTACGAAATATGATAACTACTAAAGTATGACGTGAGATTTTAAAATTAATTGATATGTTTATTTGCTAGAATCCACTCAAACAGTGAATTTGTCTTTTAAAAATGATAGAAAAACAGTAGTGACGAAGTGACAACTGTAAGCGTTAACATATAAGGCATTCTTTATTCTCAGTATGATGACGAAAATGATGACCGTTATATATTTTACTTTAAACTAACGGTTTAAACGATAGCTTAAAGCTCTGGATAGAAGATTTTCAACAAATTCAAATGGATAGTTATGGTTCATCCTTATATCTCGGACGTATTTCGACAAAATACAAAAGCACTTATCAAATTATTTTTGATGGACGTAAAATGTACGATAGTTTCGCTCTAATAGCTTCTATTTGGATGCCATCAACTTTCTCTAAAATGGAAAGACATGTTAAGTGGACAAATCCTAAAAGAATTTGCTAAAATTCATCCAAAAATTATTCAAACATTTGAACACAATTTTATAGACTTATGTTTAACAACGGAAAATTTCAATAAAATCATGGAAGTTTTACTATTGACTTATATCAGGCTGTTAAACTGGGGAATTTTGATCAAAGTTTCACTTTTAAGCTAAAAGCGTGTTATGATTTGTTGATTTTTCCACCATTTAGTTTTACGGATCTACATAGAGCTGGTATACATGAAAAAATGTATGGTTAGTTCACACTTACTGCTCTCTTAGCCGATTGTTTTCTTTACGTGTTTCAATCAGATCAACTTCATATTTGTCTTGTCTAGGATATTTTGAAATATCCGGTTCGTAGGTTTTAGATGGAAACAAATTAGAATTTGATGTTTGTTTTCCAACAGCGAAACCGGAAAATACACTACCTGATCCAAGAAGTGGTAAAAGTCGAAGTTTGATTGCATTTGCACCCCCATATGGACCACCTGTATGAAAGGGTAATAATCAGTATTAAAAAGGAGGATAATGATATTCAAACTAGTCAATTTTCTTTTTAACACTATTCCGCTCTTGATTCGAATTTTAAATATAATATCCTCGACTGTGCTCATGGAGTTCTCGCTGACTTTTATGAAGGTATATATGACAACTAGACTAAACATTATAGTCATGTTAACTACAAATGAAGTTACTGATCGTTTTAAGCTGTTAAGCGTTTATGCGAAAACCTTAATCTACCATCGTTCTTGTCGTTTCTTATGTGTCTGTGTATTTTTTTGGCAACACGAATGAGGAGTGCGCAGTGCTTTCTACTTTATGTAAACTTCATTATTCGAAACACATTGTTATCTTTACTGACTCAAACAACAAACAAATTTGTGGTTTTTGGTCTGCATAGTTGTTATTATTACAATGAAGAAGAAATAGATATTGCTTGCACCTATACTATCTAAGATATCATCACAAAATTAAAGACAGTTGGTAAAACAGCGAGTTATTAAAAATAGTACAACTAATGAATAATTATTAAGGATACATAGTTCCACTTTCTGTAATCAGTACGTTTTCTTAAACATAAAATTTACCATTTAAGAGGCTAATGAACGATAATCTTGCTTTCATTGAGTTACGTACTACAAAATGGATGCTCCCTTTTCAAAATTTAAACATTACATTACCAATTTTTTGAGCTCTATCTCAACGTTTTATTAACCATGATCTGAAACAACCACATTTAAAACTTTTCATGTATAAATTACGAATATTTCACACCTTCTGAAGCACAAATGCTTATAAGCCGAAAAAGCTGGTTTTGGATCCTGGCATTCAGCTCAATAATTTCACAACCCATAGCCACATTTTCGTCACAGGTATTCGTCTAAATTTTATAAACTATTTTTGAAGGATTCAATCAAACCTGATAAGAAGATGCCCAGCGTTCTAAGTTTTCATGAAGGATGAGAAAAGCACCAGATTTCGCCAACTGATTCAACGATTCCGACATAACTATTTGTCCAATGTACTCCTAATATTTTGTGTAACAAATTTGTGATAAGAATTCATTCATTAATGGTCTGAACGCTAGAAAGCGTTTGAGTTACAAATGTTACAAATACTGGCTTGTAAATTTGTAGAGAAGTAAATAGAGTCTACATGGAGCGCAAGAGTCGCAAATTTTAGGCTGCAAAGTGATATTACCGCGATGAGATCAGAAAAAACTTTGAAAATACGGTATTCAGTTTTTTTGTAAATGTTACAAATAGTTTGAAAGAGCGCAATTTTATGACAATAGCAATAACCTTGATATTGACACACAAAACATTTCGGCCTGCGTGACAAATGCTAGTCATTTCTTAGTCAACAAATGGTTACGACAGTGCAAGCAAATACTGGCTCTAACAAACTTGTGAAGCTAGTGCTAGTTGGTCATCAATGTCCTGAGATTGTCAAATTTATGGCAACTCTGTTATCGAACATTTTCCACTGTATTCTACGTTAGTCATCAAACACCATTCGATTCGAACTTGACCAACTTTAATATGTTGTTATGCTCAATAGGCTGAACGTATGAAAAAGATGTTTTTCGCATGGTATGAGCGTTCATCAAGCAACCACATTCCTGTTCCACTCTAATGAATAAAGATTAATAACAAAATGAGTAATTACACAACATCAGGTTAACAATAGTCAAACTCTGTAAATCGAGCCAGGTCAGTGCCATTCCTAAATTTTTATCCTATATATATATATATATATATATATATATATATATATATATATATATATATCGAGAGAGTATATACAAGCTTTTAATTGCAAAATATTCATAAATGCATGTTGACAGAAATTCCTTTCGATTGGCTTGAAACGCGTTTCTGAAAGGTTTGACGAACTCATATCCCAAAGAACTAGGGTGAATATTGATCAAAACCCCAAATTAGCATAATCCCTTACAGGATCAAATAACAGGAGGGTTATCAGGTGAAGTTTTGTAGCTACTGAAGAAGTAAACATATCATGACTACGAAGGACTTTGGTTACTTACAATCGCCGAATTTCCGTGTAAGTTTACCACAATCTATCGGAGCTAACACTTAATGACTGTCAACTCTATGAGTGGACTTTATTAATAACAACAAGACAGGTGTTGTATGTGGCACGATACTTTCTGTAAGTCACCCTTACTAGAAATTGCGCTGCGTTAGACAGCTCACTACTTTTCCTTCACTTTCAATTAGAACAATGTAAATGGTGTCTAGATATTTTAACGGTTGTGATAGCTGTATAGATATATATATGCTGTTTTCCTCATAACCAGAGTCCTCTTCTGTGTTTGTCAGAGTTAAAAGATACCAGCATGACGGTTGGTGGCATGAGTCATTATTCACCACCAAACTGCTAGTGTTTCTACCCTACTTTTACAAAATTATATGGTAGCAGACGACATTTTGTTCTATTACTTTGTTTCTAATGATATCGGCCAGTCGTAGAGGTAATGACCGTAACTCATGCGATTCGTTTCAAGCTGTAGATAAGTGCAAATCTAGTACACTAGTTTTATTTATGTTGTTATAAAATATGTGTTCAAAAGAGCTGTGACCTTTCAAACCACGTAAGTAAGGTTGCTTCAGGTTTCTTCTAGCCGTAAGAAAAAGCATCATAGCTATGCGCAGTGCATGTTACGATGAAAAAACGGAGAAATAAAGTAGCAGCAATGTATTTGGATATAAACCCTCAACAGACTTTAATGATTTATAACCAAACAGACAAGTGCATGGTAAATTATTTGAAAAAACCCATATTAGCCTCTAGATCTAGAATGCACTACAGTTAAAACCTTTATATGAGAGTATACCGTGATAAAGTACAATCAATTGTGATGTGTAACAAGGTGCGGAATTGGGTCGAATGATGGCTTGAAACTTGAAATTACAATCGGATAGGATGTTCATTGTAGTCGAAAGTGCATTGAATAAGTGTAAATCGTTTACAAGCGTTATTAACTATGAATTGTTATCATTATAGTTTTTGTAAAGCCCAAACGAACTCTGTGCACACATAAGTACAACTAACAATTCCATACACTTTGTCGACAATTTGTAAATTACTATCACTGAACACTTTTAACATTTCCGTGTTTTGTTTTAGACGTTGGAGACATGGATTATCGTAAAAACCGTCGCCAACGTCACCATCTCAAAGTTCTTAAAGATGACACAGGTATTCAATGTTTGACAACGCTTTTACCGGCAACAACTTCTAATATCATATGTACCCACCGAGAGAAATCAAAAGACAGATTAGAGGAGATCGGAAGAGTATATTTGGCGATAATCAATATATCGGAATTCTCTGATCTAATCTGACTAGCGATTGCAGTAGCAGTTGAGCACGGCGTTACCACATGTGATCTGGTGCGGATGCCTGACCGAGCGCCTTCAGCTAGATGAGTCCACTAAAACATATGGTCAGCATCCAATATCGAAAACTTACAGGTCTATTTATTTTAGGGATTTATTTACCACTACATTATGTTTCCTTTTCCTCTAACCTACGCCATTGCGGTAGATTTTTATGCTCTTTACAGTCGGTTATAGGCAGCTATCGTAAAAACACTCTTTGAAGCTTATGAGATCTATTTAAGCCATGCCTTAGTAAAGTATGTCGAATTCAGCTGACTCATTCAATAAACACTTTGAAAATGTATCTACGAAAGATATTCTGCCGTACATTACAGTATGACAGTTCTATAGTCATATGAACCATGATCTTGAAAGGCACATCAGAAATAAGTGTGCTTTCAGAGCTTGTCGATGAATTAACAATTTTATCATCACTGATCGCTTATTGATAATGTTTAATATCTGTATGTATTCAGTTGATACACTTACTTCAGCAGAATGAGAAGATATAGAATAGATTGTTCGTGAGCCACGTTTAATAAGAGTATACTCTGTTTATCATCTTATATTGTCGCAGAATCAGCAAACGTAAAGTCCTAAATAATGGTAACGCAGCTGGATCTGGACCAGAGAATTGTCTAAAATGCGTCTTAGATGAACGTGTTGGAAAGTAACAATTAAAATCCAAACCTACACAAGGGAGTATGAACTAGTGGTTATGGATGGATGAGTATAATTTCAAACGAGACAGAATACATTTGAAAACTTTTTTTCTCCTGCAGGCGCCACCACGTTTAGACCAACAAACATTGAGGCATAAACTAGAGACTAAACATTAGGAACACATAATAAGAACTTGACAAGTGATAAGATCAAGCTAATTACATCACATTGACAGTTTATTCACCCAAAAATCGCTGAAATATCACTAAGTAAATAGCTCCCAGTTCGATCATTACTATTCGAAACATTATTCCTTCTTGTCATTGAAAAACTGAATATGTATCACATCATGAATAAATCGAACAAAATCAGTTAACAAAAATTTCGTTTGGCAACGTCCGTAGTTCAGAATTCTTTGTGGAACAGATGTGAAGCTGTTATGTCCTTTTACTTATGCGATTAGCGCCAAATACGATTGTCAATTAAGTTATACATGCGACCAAGCTAACGACGCATACACCAGTACGACCAGCCCTGCCAGTTAAGTTCGGAATGCCGATCTCAGCCTTCGCGATACGAATTACATATTTTAGACACTTCATTTACAAATAAGTAAAATCAAACCACACCACACCATGAAAAAGAAAACATAAGCAAAATCAAGCAAAAAGTGGCTGTGTTTACGAGAAACTGTGACCAATATTTTGAGAATAACTCGAGAATAGTAAATTATAACAGTAACTGTCACGTCAGATAACAGCTTATAATGAAAGGAATATAAATATAAGAATTGTATGGTCACTTAAATCATACAATAAGAATATACGTATAACATCAGTTCATAAGCAAACCCTAATGATTATAGTTAATTTATTTTCGCTCAGATATAACAGAAACGAGACGAAATATGTATACATACATGAAACAATACATTTTAAGAAAGAACAATGTGATGATCAGAAAGAAAGACATGAATAGATGTATTGTTACACATATATTCACAGTAAAGTGAAAATGGATTCTACACTATACCCTTAGACTGTTGATCACCGTACTGTTTGCTCCAGTCGTAATCAATAATTTCTTTTTTACTACTTGTCGAGTTATTCTTCATCAATACATATGGGCATTCGGTTAGTCATACGTTGAATGGCGAATTAAAGTTAAATTCTTAGTGAGTTGACACGTAGTATTATTCCAAAGAGCACTAATTACATATTGCAAAAATCAAAAACTTTTGCCAACAGATATGGTGAAAGCGAATACTGATGTACATGAACAATATTACACAAAATGATGGCAAAAAGGAACGAAGACACTGTGAAGTAATGTGTTCATGTTGAAAGTTCATGAAAATAAGTATAATGGGCCAACGTAATGTACATGTAAGAGTGAGTACAGAGAAGATAGTGGGACCACCAACGCATGGGCCCGTCCATAATATACGATTAACTGATGCGCGTTGGTTGTCCTTGATTTTGACAGGGATCGATGATCTATTTTATATTCAGTCTTTTCACTCATCTCACTACACTTCATTGTAAAAAATCATCCGACCATTAATATAAAAGTTATAGCCAAGGTGCTGGATGAGGTTGGACATAGATTGACCCGAATAAGAATAGGTTTAATGATTTACAGTGAAGTACATAGTAATCGTTTTTGAGCTTTAAGGACAGAACAACTTTTTACAACTGAAATGCTCACGTCAAGTGCGAAATCACTTCAGAACACCTGATCACAACTAAAATTTTCATAAAATTGATATCGAGTGGAGGGGAAACTTAATAAGTAGGATAATAGTAAACCAACGGTCTGTGTATAAAGTGAATAAAGATCCTCCAAACTTTTGCAGTCTATAAACTTATCAAACCAGTTTTTATGATGAGATTTGTATACGAATTCTAATACACCAAAATTATCTGCAGCTTTTCAGGTA